GTGTGTGTGTGTGTGTGTGTGTGTGTGTGTGTGTGTGTGTGTGTAGAAGTGACCGTGAGTGTAGGAGGCCTTGACTGGATCTTTCTCATGGGGGGATTTCAAGTGACAAAAGTGGTGAAGGCTAGCGGGCCACTATTATCGGCTGGGGCGCCCCCTGGTGGATGAGGGCGTTTGTGGGCGTGTTAATTACAGCAGCCGCCCAAATCTGAATTCTGGCTCTACAGGGGTCGCGGCGGAAGAGAGGAAGGGGAAAGGGGGAGGAGGGGTGAGACGGGAAGAGGGACGGGGTGGTGGTGGTGTGGAGAGACTGGGTCAGTGTGTGACTCAGTGGGTCCGCTCACTCCCTGGGGATCTCTTCCGGTGGAGTCAGTGTGTGTGACAGTGGAAGAGAGAAGGAGGTCAGGGCCACTTGGGGAGGGGCGTCAGGGTGCCTGCCTCCTTCCTTCAGTCTCACTTTCAAAGAGCCGCCAGGGGATGCAGGTATGTGAGGTCACCTTCCTGTGCCTCAGATTCCTCACCTGGAGAATGCAGATAATAATAGCAACACAGGGTGAACTATGCCCAGCACATGATGGGTGCATTTACTCATTCAACAAATATCTACTGAGCATCTATTTTTTTTTGTTTTGGAGATAGGGTCTTGCTCAGTTGTCCAGGCTGGAGTGTAGTGGTGTGATCATAGCTCATTACAGCTTTGATCTCCTGGGCTCAACCAATCCTCCTGACTCAGCCTCCTGAGTAGCTGGGACCATAGGCATGTGCCACCATGCCCAGCTATTTATTTTCTTTTTGGTAGAGACCAGGTCTCGCTATGTTGCCCAGGCTGGTCTCCTGAGCTCAAGTGGTCCTCTCATCTCAGCCTCCCAAATTGCTGGGATTACAGGCATGAGTCACCTCGCCCTGCTTACTTATTTTTTTTGTTTGTTTGTTTGCTTTTAGAGACAGAGTCTTGCTCTGCCATCCAGACTGGAGTGCAGTGGTGAGACCACAGCTCACTGCAGCCTCAGCCTCCCAGGTTCAAGCTATCCTCCCACTTTAGCCTCGCAAGTAGCTGGTACTACACTGATGCGCCATCATGCCCAGCTAATTTAAATTTTTTTTTTTTTT